CAGTAAGACTGTACAGAGGGAGGAACCAGAGAGACACACAGCACATACTCCTTCTCATCTAAGGTCCTAGCTCCAAGTCTTTAGATATGGAATGAAGTTCTCGCCCCTCATCAAGGAAACTTCTCTTTGCAACAGACTAAGATCATCACAGAAAAACACAACAGTTCAAAACGCAGACTGGTGGAGCCCAGTCCCAACTGATACATCTACAACACAACTCCTGCACCTGAGACTCAGAGAACATCGACGAAGGTGGGAAAGAAAGATTTTAAGAGTGAGACCAGGGGCTGGAGAGATGGCTCAGTGGTTAAGAACACTAACTGCTCTTCCAGAGGTCTTCCAGAGTTTAACCATCTGTAATGGGATCTGAAGCTCTCTTCTGGTGTGTCTGAAGACAGCTACAGTGTACTCATATACATAAAAATAAATAAATCTTAAAAAAAAAAAAAAGCACCAGACCAACAGGAAGTTTGCTGTGAGATTGTGTCTCCTAGAAATGTCAGAAACTACACGCGTGAAGTCTCCTCAACACAGCTGCCTAAACATGATCTGAATAAAGATGACACCAGTAGACATACAAATGTGGAAGAGGGAAGCTCACAAGGCCTCAACCCTAGACGAAGAACTACAGGCGACTAAGGAATCCTGAGACCAAGAGAAACAGTCTATTGTAGAATCATCCAGGAACATATTTATTACCAGAAAACACAGTTTTACATAAAACTCAAATCCTATGATTTATCACCCATGCCCAAAAGGAACACAGAGCAGGAAAGGGATCATTCACTTGACTTCCATGTCACAGTCCACAACTGAAGAGAGCAAGGCTGAACTCAACAAAGGAACCGTAGATGAACTAGGTTCCAGCCTGCTCATTCACAGGCTAGCTGGCTTTCTTAGACAGCCCAGGACAACCTGAGTAGGGATGGCGCCACCCACAATGGACTGGCTCTCCTCCATCTACTAAAAACAAACTCCCTACAGGCATATCCACAGCCCAGTCTAATCTAGGCAATTCCTCACTACAGACTTGAAACTCTAGGCTGTATCTAGAGTTCATTAGGACGGCCTGTAAAGGCAGCTTTAGGCAAATATCAATGATGGTATCACAGTGAAGATGCTGTAACCCCGGGGGAGAATCTACTGTAGATGGGTGTAATTAGGAATAGAATTCAAGCCGGGCAGTGGTGGCGCACGCCTTTAATCCCAGCACTTGGGAGGCAGAGGCAGGTGGATTTCTAAGTTCGAGGCCAGCCTGGTCTACAGAGTGAGTTCCAGGACAGCCAGGGCTACACAGAGAAACCCTGTCTCGAAAATGCACTCAAAGGAACATACGGACACAAACACACCAAACAGAAGACAAAACACAAACGGATGAGAGATCCAATCTCGGAGGAGACAGCCCGTGGGATGCCTCTAGGTGGACCAGTTCTGTCTAACCTTCTGGGTGTCTACGTCCGCGGGGCGGGAGAAGAATGGAAGCAAGCGACCCCAGGGTGCGGGGCGGCACTCACCACTTCCCCCTGCTCGGCGGACTTGTATACTCCGGACACCATCTCGTTATGGAGAAGCAAAAACAACGCCTCGTCCGCCATTTCCCGTCGATCCCTCCAGCGCCGCCGAGTCGGCTCCAATGAGTGCGGGACTCGAGGTTCCCGGGAGTCCGCGCCGCACGCTGTGCGCAGCGGCCTACCCCGGTCCTAAGGCCGCGGAAGGCCGCCGTGCACCGCGCCCCTCCCCAGGGCCGCCGCCACTGGGCCCTCGAGACCCTGGGACAGCCCCACACACCCTGTAGCCAAGACTACAGCGCTGGGCGTGGAGCGTGAGTAACTTCCGGGCCGGGGTGAGCAACTTCCGGCGCCCTGCTCGACGTTAGGTGGGCTGGTGCTTCACAGAGCTGTGGCTGGTTCTGGTGCGCAGATAAGAGAAAAGCCTTTTTTTTTCTCCCTTGGTTTTTTGAGGTCCAACCTAAACTGGTGTTATGCTCCTGGTTTCTAAACGTTCCTTCTACGTTTAAACTCTTAGTACTACAAGTACTACTTTGCCAGCTATGTGATGAGTTAGTTCTTCTCTCGGTAATTCATGAAATATGTTTTTCTTCCAATTATTTCCTTGTCTCTCCTATTAACATTAGTTTTCTCGAATTGGTTACGATAATCTAACGTTACACTATCTCAAATGATTTCTCAGATGACAGTTCTATAATTGTAGTAATAGATGTCATGGTTAATATCAGTTTGACAGGATCTAAAATCACTCAGGGGGCAAACCTCTGGACTTGTCCGTGGCTTTCTAGATTGGGGCATTTGAGGTGGGGTTCTAAATTGAATTTTTTTAAAAAAAAAATGTGAGCTGAACATTCATTTCTGTCTGCTTCCTGACGGTGGCTGCAATGGGACAAACCACCTTAGGTAGGATCTTACCAGCATGTCTTCCCTGCCGTGGTGGATTGTGCTCTCAAACTGTGAGCCAAAATAACCCTTTCCTTCAGTTGCTTTTGACAGGTATTTTCTTCCCAGAATAATAAAAGTAACTATCGAGCCGGGCGGCAGTGGTGGCGCACGCCTTTAATCCCAGCACTTGGGAGGCAGAGACAGGCGGATTTCTGAGTTCGAGGCCAGCACTACAGAGTGTTCCAGAACAGCCAGGGCTACACAGAGAAACCCTGTCTCGAAAAACCAAAAAAAAAAAAAAAAAAAGTAACTATCACCATACTATCAACATATCATAATGTTGGATCACCGATGCTGCCTGAGTAGAGCAATCAGCTTCCCCTTATCTTCTACCTCTGCCTTCCCTAAGCTCACAGTGTGTCGAAGCCCCTCAGGAGGGCAGAAGAATAGGGCCAGCTTGCTGATGCTCCAACCCCAGGCAAACGGATTAGTACCATCACTAAACTGCTAAGCTCAAGGACCCCTCTCCTCTAAAGCACTGGTTCTCAACCTCCCTAATGCTACAACCCTTAAATACAGTTCTTCATGCTGTGGTGACCTCCAACCATAAAATTATTTTTGTTGCTACTTCATAACTGTATTTTTGTTTTACTACTGTTATGAATCATAATGTAGATATCTGTGTTTTCCCCATAGTCTTAGGCGACCCCCGTGGAAGGTTGAGAACCACTGCTCTAAAGTCTACAAAAGTAAGAAATATTCTTTATTCTGTAGGTTGCTCCTATCCCAGCTTCCCCAATGCAAACGACCAAACCAAACCAAACCAAACCAACCCTAAAGGATATTTTTTCCTGAAATCTGTGTAGGCACTTGGAACCTCTCTAAGGAACTTGGAATCACTGTTGTTTAGAGCTAGTACTACATGGGTTTGTTTGTTTTCCTAAAAAATGACTTCTTTTTTTTATTGGATATTTTATTTACATTTCAGATGTTATCCCCTTACCCCATCACCCCGCCCAGTAACCCGTTATCCTATCCCCCCTCCTCCTGTTTCTATGAGGATATGCTTCCCACCCCCGCAAAATGCCTTCTAATGTTTAAATTCATTTATGCCGGTCATCTTATAAAGAGAACCTAAACGTTCCACCTAAAAGCCACACACACTGGTATAGGCCTGGAATCCCAGCACTTGGGGAGCCAAAGCAGAGACTTTCGGCGGTGCAGGGACAGATAGATGGAGAGCACAGACCCACTCTCACAGCAGCCTGGAGGAGGTTCATAATCTTTTAAAAATACTTGTCTTTTAATTATTTTTATATGCATGGGTGTTTTGCCTGCACGTGTATATATGTACCATTCGTGTGTCTGGTGCCCATGAAAACCAAAAGGGGTTATCAGGTTCCCTAGACTAGAGCCATAGACAGTTGTGAGCTGCCCTGTGGGTGCTAGAAACCATATCCAGGTCCTCTAGGAGAACAGCCAGTACTCTTAACAATGGGCCATCTCTCCAATGCCAGACATTTATTTTATTCCTGTGTGTGTGTGTGTGTGTGTGTGTGTGAATGCTATGAATGCTAGTGGAGGCCAGAAGATGATGTAGGATCCCACAGATAGTTGTGAACCACCTGATATGGGTACTAAGACCCAGACTTGCATCTTTTGCACTCAATCTTAAAAGTCAAGCTGTTTTGTTTCTCCAATCCTCAAGCACTGGGATTTCCAGACTCTACCAGGCCCAACTCTAAGTAGGGTTCTTTTGTTGTTGTTGTTGTTGTTTTGTTTTTTGTTTTGTTTTTTGTTTTTTTTTCGAGACAGGGTTTCTCTGTGTAGCCCTGGCTGTCTTGGAACTCACTCTGTAGACCAGGCTAGCCTCGAACTCTCGAACTCAGAAATCCACCTGCCTCTGCCTCCCAAGTGCTGGGACTAAAGGCGTGCGCCACCACCGCCCGGCCCTAAGTAGGGTTCTAATAAGATTATTAAATCAGCACACTATGTTAGAAACAAGGACACATTCTGCACCTTCTCACAATGTTAAGAGCTTACTGGGCTATTGAGATGACTCAGAGGGAAAAGGCACCTGTCTCCAAGACTGATAACCTGAATTCCATCCCCAGGTTCCATATGGCGAAGAAGAAAACTGACTCCAACCTCATGTGTATACACATATACGCTGAAGTAAATTAAAAATAAAAAGACAATGTATAGAACAAAGAATTTACTAGCCACATCATTTCATTGGCTACACTTTGCAAACAGTATAATTTTGCTTGATAGCTGGCCTTTGGCAAACATGGGTCATATTATTATATGGGTCATCATATTATAGGGCCATTACCTCTTAGGTCACATATTACATATCGAATGCTATATATGCATATATATAGTGGGGGCAGGCTTTGAGGTATGCATATGTATAAAGTATATGTATGTACGAATATATGTATGTATAGTGTGACATGTATTATAAATACATAGGTGATGGGAGGGGAACACCTGGGTTCAGTTCCCAGCACCAACATGGTAGCTTAGCCTTGTCTGTAACTCCAGTTCCAGTGATCCACCCCTCACTTCTGCTCTCTAAGGGCATCATGTATGCAGGTAGTTACACAGAGGACAAAACACCCATACACACAAAATAATAGCAAAATGTGAAAGAGCCTATCTTTTATATATACAAACAACTCAGTGAGACCTTTACAGTTAGAATTAAATAATTTTCACAATTAATTGCTTTTTACCCAATCTTTGTTTTCTATATTGCTTCCTGCTAATATGTTATATGCCCTCAAGCTTCTTCAAATTCATTCTCTCTCTCTCTCTCTCTCTCTCTCTCTCTCTCTCTCTCTCTCTCTCGGAGTTCAAGACAGTGTTCTCTGGCTGTCCTGGAACTGGCTCTGTAGACCAGACTGTAGACCAGGCTGGCCTTGAACTCCCAAAGATTCACCTGCCTCTGCCTTTCAAGTGTTGAGATGAAAAGGCATGTCTACCACCTGGCTTTGTTTGGTTGGTTGGTTGGTTTGGTTTTGGTTTTGTTCGAGACTGGGTTTTTCTGTGTATCCCCAGCTGTCACAGTATTCACAGTATTTGTTTTGTAGATGACAGGTATTGTATCATTGATAAGATAATGAAATTCTTCCTCACCTGTCCAGTTATGAGCCTACACACAAATAGCATACAAGTAAGACCAAGTTACTGTTACTAAAAACAAAACAAAAACTCTCATTCCTTTTCAGGGAGCAAACTTGTAAGGGTTTGACTTTTGTATTTGTGTAACATTTTTCTGAACTAAAACGTGTACCTCTATTTCAAGTACAAAACCAGCTTCCATATTGGCACTGTGACAAAGTGGAATCTAGAAAATACACACAGGAAAACACTGGCAACTCCCCCGCGACTATACCAGCAGGCTTTAGGCCCTGCCGGAAACAGCTTTGCTCAGGATTAGAATATAAAGTGCCTCTTAATCTAGATCTGACGACCTCCTGGACCTAGGTCCGCAGCCTCAATTTCCTTATCATTAAGAACCATCTCATTGAAGTTTTAGTTTTTAACGACTAAGGCATGTAAGGCGATTCTCAATGTCCACAATAATTATTAGCTGTTAGGATAGACTCGTGGTAGTTCAGTTCACTAGGCAGCCTGCGCCTCCCAGCACTCTGGGCATGCGCAATAACCATAAATTGCCATGTCCTTTTCTAATTAAATCTCCTGGGGAAGGAAAGAAGGAAGGTAGAGTCGCTTCCGTCCCATGGGTGTTAGTAAGTGTTTAAGAGCACTATGGAGTCAGCGACATATCAAATTTAAGGGGATGCCTTTGCAGAGCCCCGAGATTGGATCTAGCACACCGACGTAATCTCTCTTCGCTCTGCGCAAGCAGCGGAGCGCAAACACCACAGGCGGCGAGGGGAGGGGCTGACTGACTTGCCGGCTCCTCATTGGTTGGGAATCACGGGTTCGGCAAGCTTCTTCCCCTTCCGGTCCCTGAGTGGTTGAGGCTAGAAAAAAAAAAAATCCCGCGGTCATTGGCTGGGGCGGGCTGTCAGTCCTTCCGCGTGTAACGGCGGGCGTGGTGCGGCGCTGCGCGGCCTATAGAGCAGTCGCGAAGCCTGCTGCAGAGAGAAGATGGCGGTCGCCGTGAGAGCTTTGCAGGAACAGCTAGAAAAGGCCAAAGAAAGCCTCAAGAATGTGGACGAGAATATCCGCAAGCTCACCGGGCGGGACCCGAATGATGTGAGGTACGCATCGGACGGAACCTGAGGGGTTGGGGAGGCACTCCTCGGGTTGGGGCGAACTGGGGAGAGAGGGCAGCCGACCGGTTGTGGGCCCGCTGGGGTCAAGGGGCCTGTTTCCCGGGCGGCGGCCGAGCCCTCTACTCGGCTAGGCGGGAAGACGCCATGCCTGCGCCCTAGGGCGCTGGGGGCCAAGTGCTGACGAATGGAAGG